GATGAGCTACTGAGTTTTTATTGTAACCACAGATGTCCGTGACAACATTGTGACACAACAACTTCACTCTTATATCAAAACAACTGTACTTATAAAATTAATGTTTAGTCATAAACAAGGTGGATTTGAAATCAAACAACCCATGGGCCTAAACTTGTTTGTTTTTCTCTTATTAATTTCTCTTTTATTATAAGGTCCCCAGTCAAGAACTCAGAAAGGTAGAAGGAAATTATTTTTCCTCCCGACAGAAGGAAAGTGAGTAAAAATCTCCCTGATAATACTTGTAATACTCAAGAAACACATTCTAGTACAACTTGTCCTTCCCCATGTTAATCCATTTCAAAGGACAGTCACTGTGGTACAAACATAAGGCTTCAAGCTTCAAAGAGGTAACAATAGGTTTTATGAATCCCTCTGAGTCACCAAGGTTAGTTAACCCAGCTGTGACCTATAACCCTTTGTGTCCTTATATTTGCATTTCTATGGCTTTATATTGAAAGTTTTATTAGGCAGAATGGAAGATGCTTCAGTTTGCCATTCAGACCCTTTGTGCTCTTATTTTTCTTCTGAAGCCATTTGCCTAGTGTACTAGTAATTTTAGTTTCCTGGAAGTGATAGTGGAACTACTTCTGTAAAGCTTCTTTATTGGGGGGGAAAGGGGGAGGGGGGAAAAGGGAATGTTTGAAGTCAATACAGAGTAAAATTCAAGTAAAGATATTTTTCAATCCTTTTGACTGATCCTGCTCATGATCACTGTTTCTGCTTGAGCAGAAACTGTTACACAGTGATTAGTTTCTGCAGCGATAGTGTCTTCAGCCGCATTGCCCTTTGGGACTGCAGTTGGGTTAGTTGCTGCCAAGTGGATGGGATGAGTTCCCAGGTATGTTAATGTTTTGTTTGTTTGTTTGTTTCTCTTAAAGATGTTGGAGGTGTCTGAAGAGAGCAGTTTGGATTCCAGTCATAGAATTCATAAAGCCTTGCTCCCAGGTAAAATATAAAATAGGAAGTGGCAACATTTGCCTATGTTTTTGATACTTTCTCATCCTTCACATTTTTTTCTCTCTTAAGCTCCTTGCTATTCAATCAATGGCTCTTTTCTCAGAGAACTGCAATCTTGCCTACTCATCCCAGTGGTGCCAGATAACCATGTCCTCTGCCACCCTACCTGGCCTTACATCCTCTACCCCATGTGCTCCATCGAATTCCTCCATCCCATTTCCTCCCAGTGCAGATGCCCCACCCCAGAGCCCCTGCCTCACATCCTGCCCATCCCACATTACCCACTCAATATACCACCCCACACATTTTTCTGTTTGGCACCACTCCCAGTATATAAGGTTAAAAGATAAACTGATGCATATTAAATTTTTTACTTTTTAGTTAGGCAAAAATCTATGTGAATCAGGCAGCATCCAATTTAGTGGATTAAAAGGAGCTCCAATGAGCTTTACAGAATGAAAAACTTTGATAGGTATAAAGGAACTAGAACAAGAAAGTCACACAGGGCAGGAAAGTAGGTTGGTTATTTATTTTTTAAATTTTATTGTTTAAAGTATTACAAATAGTAGTACATATGTCTCCTTTTTTTTCCCCAATGACCTTCCCCCGGCCTCCCCTACCCCCTACCACATGCCTTTACCCCCCCCCCCCCGCCCCCAGTGTCTTGTGTCCATTGGTTATGCTTATATGCATGTATACAAGTCCTTCAGTTGATCTCTTACACCGCCCCCCCCATCACTCCCCAGCCTTCCCACTGTAGTTTGACAGTCTGTTCGATGCTTCTCTGCCTCTGTATCTATCTTTTTGTTCATCAGGTTATAATGTTCTTTATTATCAATAAACTAGAGGCCCGGTGCACAAAAATCTGTGCACTCGGGGGGGAGGGGAGTCCCTCAGCCTGGCCGGTGCCCTCTCGAAGTCTGGGACCCCTCGGGAGATAACGACCTGCTGGCTTAGGCCTGCTCCCAGGTGGCAGAGGGCAGGCCCAATCCCTAGGTGCAGCCCCTGGTCAGGCTCAGAGCAGGGCCGATTCGGTAGTTGGGGCGCTGCCCCTTCATGCACAGAGCAGGGCAGATTGGGAGGTTGTGATGCCACCCTCAGTCACACTCAGGGTAGGGCCAATTGGGGGGTTGGTGCACCACCCCCTGTCACACTCAAGGCAGGGTGGATGGGGAGGTTGCGGCACCACCCCCTGTCACGCACAGAGCAGGGCCAATCAGGGGGTTGGGGCACTGCCCCCGTCACACACAGAGCAGGGGCAATCAGGGGGTTGGGGCACTACCCCCGTCACACACAGAGCAGGGCCCATCAGGGGGTTGGGGCGCCGCCACTCTCACACTCAGGGCAGGGCCGATGGGGAGGTTATGGCTCTACCCCATCACACACAGAGCAGGGCCCATGGGGGGGGTGGGTTGGGGAGCTCCCCCCTATCAGGCACAGAGCAGGGCTGCTCAGGGGGTTGGGGCCCCGCCCCCTGTCACACACAGAGCCACGGGGCGATCAGGGGGTTTGGGCGCTGCCCCCTGTCACGCTGATCCTGGTGCCGGGAGGCATATTACCCTTTTACTATATAGGGTAGAGGCCTGGTGCATGGGTGGGGCCGGCTGGATTGCCCTGAAGGGTGTCCTGGATCAGGGTGGGGGTCCCCACTGGGGTGCCTGGCCAGTCTGGGTGAGGGGCTGAGGGCTGTTTTCAGGCTGGGAGTGACTGAAGTTCCCAACCGCTCCTTTTTTTCTTTTTTTTTTTTTTTTATTCTGGGCCAGCTTTACCTTGAGGCTTGGCTCCAGCTCTTAGGCCTCCGTGCCTGAGAGTAGGTTTCTGGCCTTTGCTTACAATGTTGTGAATCTGGTGGCTGAAGTCCTGTGGTGTTTGTTACAATGTTTCTTTAACTGCCCGCTCAGAGGCCTGAAGCAACAGGTGGGGAACATTGGAGTCCTCCGTCACTGAAGCAAGCAAACCTCATGTTAGTTTCAAGCTGCCTGGCTGCCGGCTGCCATCTTGGCTGACAGTTAATTTGCATATCTCGCTGATTAGCCAATGAAAAGGGTAGCGGTTGTATGCCAATTACCATGTTTCTCTTTTATTAGTGTAGACTAGAGGCCCGGTGCACAAAAATTTGTGCACTCGGGGGAGACGGGAGGTCCCTCAGCCCAGCCTGTGCCCTCTCATAGTCTGGGACCCCTCGGGAGATAACGACCTGCTGGCTTAGGCCTGCTCCCGGGTGGCAGAGGGCAGGCCCAATCCCTAGGTGCAGCCCCTGCTTGGGCTCAGAGCAGGGCCGATTGGGGAGTTGGGGCGCCGCCCCCTGTCACACTCAGGGCAGGGCCAATCAGGGGTTTGGGGCGCTGCCTTCTATCACCCACAGAGCAGGGCCGATCAAGGGGTTGGGGCGCCGCCACTCTCACACTCAGGGCAGGACCGATGGGGAGGTTATGGCTCTACCCCATCACACACAGAGCAGGGCCCGTGGAGGGCGGGGTGGTTAGGGCACCGCACCCTATCACGAACAGAGCAGGGCCGATAGGGAGGTTGTGGCCCCACCCCCTGTCACACACAGAGCCGCAGGGCGATCAGGGGGTTTGGGTGCTGCCCCCTGTCACGCTGATCCCGGTGCGGGGAGGCCTCGTGGCTCCGCTGATCCCAGTGCTGGGCGGCATATTACCCTTTTACTATATAGGATAGAGGCCTGGTGCATGTGTGGGGGCCAGCAGGTTTGCCCTTAAGGGCGTCCTGGATCCAGGTAGGGGTCCCCACTGAGTGCCTGGCCAGCCTGGGTGTGGGGATGATGGCTGTTTGCAGCTGGTCACACACCCTTAAGCATGGGGGTCCCCACTGGGGTGCCTGGCCAGTCTGGGTGAGGGGATGATGGCTGTTTGCAGCTGGTCACACACCCTGAAGGGTGGGGGTCCCCACTGGGGTGCCTGGCCAGCCTGGGTGAGGGGATGATGGTTGTTTGTAGCTGGTCACACACCCTTCAGGGTGGGGGTCCCCACTGGGTTGCCTTGCCAGTCTGGGTGAGGGGCTGAGGGCTAAAGCTCCCAACTGCTCCTTTTTTTTCTTTTTTTAAATTCTGGGCCAGCTTTAGCTCTATCTCCAGCTCTGAGGCCTCTGCTGCTGAAAGAAGGTATCTGGTTTGTTTTGGTTCTATAATCGAAACTCTGTATCAACTCCAGCTCTGAGATCCTGGACTCGCTGAAAGCAGGTTTCTGGGGTTTTGTTTAGCTTCTATATTTGTTACAATGTTTCTTAACCTGCAAGCTCAGAGGCCGGCAAGGCTGACGGGGAACGTTGGAGTCCTCTGTCACTGAAGCAAGCAAGCCTCATGTTCGCTTCAAGCTGCCTGGCTGCTGGCCGCCATCTTGGCTGGCAGTTAATTTGCATATCCCGCTGATTAGCCAATGGGAAGGGTAGTGGTCGTATGCCAATTACCACATTTCTCTTTTATTAGATAGGATTAGTGAGATCATGTGGTATTGTTCCTTTACTGCCTGGCTTATTTCACTTAGCATAATGCTCTCCAGTTCCATCCATGCTGCTGCAAATGGTAAGAATTCCTTCTTTTTTTATAGCAGCATGGTATTTCATTGTGTAGATGTACCATAGTTTTCTAATCCAATTATCTACTGATGGGTATTTAGGCTGTTTCCAAATCTTAGCTATGCTAAATTGTGCTGCTATGAACATAGGGGTGCATATAACCTTTCTGATTGGTGTTTCTGTTTTCTTGGGATATATTCCTAGAAGTGGTATTACTAGGTCAAATGACAGTTCCATTTTTAAATTTTTGTGGAAACACCATACTGTTTTCCACAGTGGCTGCACCAGTCTGCCTTCCCACCAGCAGTGAAGGAGGGTTCCCTTTTCTCCACATCCTCTCCAGCACTTGTCATTTGTTGATTTGTTGATGATAAACATTCTGACAGGTGTGAGGTGGTACCTCATTGTCGTTTTGATTTGCATCTCTCAGATGATTAGTGACTTTGAGCATGTTTTCTGGGCTTTCTGAATGTCCTCTTTCGAAAAGTGTCTATTTAGGTCCTTTGCCCATTTTTTGATTGGATTGTTTATCTTCCTTTTGTTAAGTTGTATGAGTTTTCTGTAAAAAGTAGGTCGGTTATTGCACAGTTACTTTCCTTTCAGGGATGGTAGGAGCCTATCAGGCAGATTACCTCACTTGTGTTGATCAGATGATTTCTGGTTGGCTGCTTCAAAATTCCATTTTTGGTAGAACAAAAACTGTAAGTTAAGTCTCAGACTGGTGACATGGGCCTCGCATAAGTGACTCCATTCTGTCCTGTTGTCTTGTTTTTAACAACAGTTTAATAAAACTCTGAATACAGTACCGGGTTCACTGTAGGCACTCCATAAATTCTACCAAGGTCTTTCCTCCCTCCTTTTCTTTTCCCATTGCTCCAGGGCTCTTGAGATTCCAAAAAAGTATACATACGCTGGGAGGGCAATCACCAATATATAAAAAGTTACCCAAAGATCCCATGTCATCCACAGGAGGACCTGGATTTTGATGATGGAGAGAAGAAGGTTTTATTAAAATCTGAGATTTGTGACTTAAAAAATAAGGCTTTAGTATTTTTTTTTTTATTTGAGTGAAAAATTATGTATACTTTTACTTTTTAGTTTGCTTCATTATATTGACATTTCAGGAACCTTCCGTGTCTTACACAGTGTCATCCAGGGCACCTATCTGTGTACCTAGTGGGAAGCCAGACCTCCTCTGAGCCTCTCCTCACATGGCAGGAACACTAGCAAAAATGTATTTTTATATGGGTGGTGCATTTTTCATTTACCCCACACTTTGCATTGTCTTTCCCAAGAAATGTTTTACATGCATTTCCATATAATTTCTCTCCTTTCTAGGCCACCAGCTTTTCAGCAAAAGAGCCACTCTTAAGGTCTGATGAGAGGTATAAATGGTCCTTGTTGCTCTAAAAAAAAAAGGAAGAAGTGTAATTACCCACTTCACTTACTCAACTGCTGTTATAGGATTTCAAAGGCTTTTCTGAAGGGGGTGAAGAGAGGACAGGGCAGGAGGATGAATGTGTTTCTGTGATGAGACAGTGGCTACAGTCAGAGGACACAGGCAGGACTCAGCCACTGCAATTTGCTTACATAATTCCCTTCTCTTACATTTGGCTCCTAAAAGGGAGCAAAAATACTGAGTTGGTTAAAATTCCAGTAAAGTTCTGGAGAAACAGAAGAAAACAGTAAGAATAATGAGCTCTTAAAGTCTCCAGACTTTTCCTATCCTGCCTGATTCTAGTCTGTGTTCCTGTTTTTGCCTGAACTGTTTTCATTAGTTAAGATTTCAGTTGCCTGAAGTTACAGTATGGCTGAAACAAATCAGGGTGAATTTATCTCTCCAAACAGAAGGTCCTGAAGAAGGCAGTCGATAGCTTTGGTTTACCTGTTTAGTGATAACTATCAGGGCCCCAAACTCAAACTGTGTTTTTAATTTTTTGTTTCATTTTTGTAAAATCACCTTTATCACCATCTGTTTCCATTCAGAGATAATGCCACCTTTTGTCATCAAGCTCATCCCTTCTTAAATGATAGATGGCTGCTGGCTGCTTCAAACATTGCATCTGCGTTCAAGAAAAGAAAAAGAGACTCAGGAGAGATGCCTATGCACCTTTGCAATATTGATTAGAAAAGCAAAAATCAATTCCAGAAAAGTTATTCTTTTACCTGATTGATCAGAACAGTGTCACAGGATCATTCTCACCATGAAGTGAATTGACAAGGGGACCGGCCAGATGTTAACTTTCCTCCTCTTCTTTGCAGAATCAGGCAAGGGAAGGACCGCCACCACATTATACAGAATTATGACCTGATTTTGAAACCTGGGTCCTTGTCAGAGGGAAAAATATTCTCTTTCTCTACTCTCTTAAGTTCTGTGATAGGGGACGGCAAGTTAAATTGGCAAAAGATATAAGAGCAAAAGAGAAGATTGAGCTTTATTCACAGATGTGTACATGATAGTTCACAGAATAATGTGATTGAAGGAGGTGGTTAGAATGTGGGGCTTATTGCCATCTTAATAGGGGGTGGGAGGAAGAAGTGAGGCATTTCTGGGAGATAAAATGAATTTTTAGAAGAAAGGGGGAGAAAGGGTGTTGAGTGTTTCCTTCCCACGTCCTGCGTGGGTCAGGGTTCAGGAACTGGAAGCAGAGCCGCACACAAATGAAAATGAAAAGACAAGAGATAATTGGAAATATTGGGGGACCAGGCAGGCAAGTCCAACTCAAGGGGAAGGACTTCCACCAGTGCTCAGGCCTCACCAAGCTTTTTTTGATCTGGGATGCACCCATAGCATAGCCCTTAGGCAGGCAACCCCCTGCAACAGGCAGACTAGCCCATCAGGAAGGATTTACATAATAATAAATAGGGGAGTAGTTTCAGCTACCACTGTCTGGACAAACAGAGATGGCGCCTAGCTCCAACCTTTGCTAGGGCTTCAAAGGCACCCAGCCTTCGGGGGTTCTCTGTCTAAGCTTATCAGATAGTGAAGGCAATAAACAGTTTCCCACAAAAGGGTACTTATAGAAAAACAAATGATTGTTGATAGGAAGAAAGGAAGGGAGGAAGGAATAAAAGAAGGAAAGAAGAAAAGGAGGAAGGAAGGAAGAGAAAGAAGAAAATCCCTTAGGAGAATAAATGGAAGCCATGGCAGTTTAGCGACAGTGTTTGTTTGAGGGCAGTGCCCACTGTTCATCTCTCAGAAGACAAGATGAGAGTTGTTCCCAGGGAGGAGATTTATGACAACTGAATTCTTTTGGGAGGCTCTGTGTTTGGGGCAGATAAGGAATTTTAGGAACTCAAATAGTTTCAGCTCATTTTTTTTTTAATGCCACAGTGGCTTATTTTGGACTAATTCATCCTCAATTCTAATTTAGTTTCTCATTTCAGAAAACCCATAGCAGCTTTGCCTAGTAACTAAACATTCCTTTTTTTAGAAAATCCTCAAGTACATGCTTAGAAAGAGGAAGGGGGGGGGGGAGAGAGAGAGAGAGAGAGAGAGAGAGAGAGAGAGAGAGAGAGAGAGAGAAACATCAATTGATTGTCTTCTGCATATGCCCCCAACCAGGGATCAAACCCACAACACAGGCGTGTGTTCTGTCTGAGAATCAAACCAGCAACCTTTTAGTGCACAAGACAACATTCAACTAATTGAGACACTCCAGCTGGGCATGTCCCAACATTTTTAATCCTGAATTGCTCTAAGACTCCATCAAATCCCATAAGAGTGTATCTTCAAGAAGGACCTGAACCCCTCTTCCAACACAGCAGGCCAGTTGGATTAAAATAACTGGTCATATAGTTATTAAATTAAAAACTTACTTTGGTGAGCACATAAAAAACATCAAGGTTACCTCCTACACTGAAGGGCAATCATACTTTAAAGATGGATTCATTTCTGTATTACTATTTCTTCCCCTTGCCAATATTAAATTATCCATGGACAAACTGTAAGAAAAATAAGATCATTTGTCACTACAGGAATGAACCTAATTTCTGCTTCACCTTGTCCTCTGCTGAATTCTGCCTACTGTTTCTGATTTTGTTTACCTTTGTTCCTTAAGTATCATCATCATGACCCTAAAGGGAGGAATGCTTCCCTAAGCCTTTGGTTATTAATGCCCACCTAGGGAAAGAGTCAATTCCTCTAGGAAAAAATTCCTGACAATTATTTGCAAGTAATTGTTCAATTTGGTGACATTTTACTCTCCTCTCATAAGCACACAGGGTGCTTTATTAGCCAGTCTTTCCAGTCCAGCCTTTAGAGAATATTTTACAGCAAAGCCATTATTACATAAACTAGAACACAAGTAAAACTTATGCTTCTGTTTCAAGGTGGAGCAAAGGTGATTTCCCTTAAATGTATTATCCACTGTTTATCTAAAATTAATCATAACTTAAGGTTACAGATGAAACAACCTATGCCCATGGTCCAGAATCTTCTAGCAGCCAAAACCTGTAAGGTTTATATTTTAATTTTATGACTCTTATAAACTCACTGCTGCTTCCATTCTATGAATCTGCCCCCAAAGAATTTATGAATCAGCTTCCAAATAGTCTGTGGCAGGGGGAAGCCAGATGGTGATAGTGCACTATTACAGTCTTTCAACTAGTTCCTCAAAAAAAATTAAGCCCTAATATCCAAGGCATCCACTGCATGTTATGAATTAATTTCTCCATTATGACTCTAGAATGGTACTAGCTATGTACCATCCTTGGGAGAACTGAGTATATAGGCACATACATTATTTTATGCTTTCTATGATTTAGATGAGTCTCAGTTGAATCAGTTGCAGCTGAGCCTGTGAGTAACTTCCTGCATGACTTTTAATTTGGTTTCCTTAGTGTCCTTATCTAAAAAATAAAAATAAAAATGAATTGATTGCTCAGATTAATTCCAAGATGCCTTCTAGCTATGATAGAAAATCTGCACTCTAGAAGGTTGTTCTAGAAAAGTTTGGGATCTTAGGAAACCAAATTCAACACTGTGTGTAGTCACATGGTCTCATTTTGCATTCTACCAAAAAAAAGTGAGATAAAATTATTTAAAAACATGTTTTCTGTGTAATTCCTCTCTTTCCACCCTGTCTTCATTAAACCTCTACCTTGCCCCTCATTTCTTCTTAGAAATCATAGATGCTGAGGGAACAAAGCCTTCATACAATTAAGTAATCTTTGTTCTTTACAAATTATAAAGGGTTAAGCTCTTTATGCTGGCTAGGTTGAGAACAAATTCGGCACCTAGTCTTCTACCTGTTTTTCTCCCCAGTTCTGTTTCTCTCTCTCTACACTTGCCTAGAATTGAAAATATGGAACTGTCAGTCCCCCCGATACCTCCTAATGTACAAATAGATGCCTGAAGATATGAGTTGTGCCAACAGTTTTGGCACACATATACATATATATTTATTTTATATATCTTTTTAACCAAAGTTGTTACATTAACCCCCCACAACTAAAATGAAAAAGGAAGGAACAAATTAAGAAATAATATAATAAGTCTTATCTTTTGTCCAATATTCTCTGCATATTGCCTCTCTGTTTTGTTTGTTTGTTTGTTTGTTTTTAGTTGCTTTGTTTTCTCCTTTATATTTTCAGGGAAAGCAGAGACTGGTTAATAAAAATAGTAAATAGTGAGAAATTTCATTATAAGCAACATTTCCATGGATTTCTGTGCTGTTCTGAATTAGTCCCTGTCCTTTGGTAAATGAAAATAAACACTGAGGAAGGAAGGGGACTTCAGACTAATCAGGTAGATGCAGAAGTCAACATCACAACCCACTTGCCTAGCCAGTGGAGATAAATGTATGTGAGGCTGACAGTGCTAGCGAGGTCTAAGATGTTCACAAAACTTTACAATCTTCATTCTAGAGGCAAACTGTTAGGAATAAAATAGAAACGTGGGGAATGTGTTCTGAGAAGCACACGAAGCTGAATATGAGCTCTGTGGGAAAATGTCATGGCTGCTTATTGATATCTGCAATGGCTCAGGTTAAGAGAAAAGCAGCATGAGTCTTGCATGGCCTTGTAGATTCCCTAACTGACTACTTTCAAATAAATTAGATTTCGCTTAAAAGCAGAATTAATCAAATCCTGATAATGCATAACCTTCCTTGTATAAAACTGACTTAGATTTTGCATTCTGAATCCTAAGAATTACTATTATATTACTAGAATTTTTGAATAAGATACTACTATTAGCTAAAATGGGTGGACAAATAACCTTCAGCTAGAAATTCTATGATTCAATGAAATATTGATTTTTCTATCAGTAACTTCTTTTTGTCTCCCTGTTTTTTATCTTAACACATTTTTTATAATGCAAGCCACAAGTGTAATTTTATTTTTAATTGCATTTATTGGAGTGATATTAGTTCACTAAACCATACAGGTTTCAAGTGTACAACTCAATAAAACATCATCTGCACACTGCATTGTGTGCCCACTGCCCCAAGCAAAGTCTCTTTCCATCTCATTTTCCCACCTCCACCTAGCCCCCAACCCCTTTTCCTCTGGCTATCACTACACTGTTGTCTGTGTCTATGGGTTATGCATATATGACCTTTGGTTAATTCTTCTGTCCTTTCATCAGTATTCCCACCCCCTTTTCCTCTGACAGCTGTCAGTCTGTTCCATGTTTCCATGCCTATTTATATTTTGTCTGCCAGTTTATTTTGTTCATTAGATTCCATATATAAGTGAGATCATATAGAATATCACATGACCCCCGCAAAAAAGAATATCTTACCTTTTGCAACAGCATGAATGGACCTGGAGATTATTATGGTAAGTGAAATAAACCATTCAGAGACAGTCAAATATCTTAACACATTTTTAATAGGAAAGTGTGTCTGAAGTGTATCAGTAAAAAATATTACTTACTTAATAAGATTACTAGCTGATTTCTCATCATAAAGACCAGACATGTCATATTTAAAGCTGTAAACAGCGGTTCTCAACCTGTGGGTCACGAACAATGAAAATACATACTGCATATCAGATATTTACATTACGATTCATAACAGTAGCAAAATTAGTTATGAAGTAGCAACAAAAATAATTTTATGGTTGGGGGTCACCACAACATGAGGAACTGTATTAAAGGGTTGCGGCATTAGGAAGGTTGAGAACCACTGCAAAGGGGAAAAAAAAACCCTTAATTAAAAATTTTATATCCAGCAAAACTATCTTTCAGAAATGAAGGTGAAATTAAGACATTCTCAGATGAACAAAAGCTAAGGGAATTTATAGCTAGTAGACTTGTCCTATAAAAAATGCTAAAAAGAGTTCTTCAGGCTGAATTGGTAGGACACTAGAAAATATACCAAGGAAAGTAACAACATAGTTTACCAGAATTTAAAAAATAATGGGAAAATTATGTAAAAGTAGTTTTCCTTTGAAATATAGATTGTTAACCTGTTGATTCAATTATGGCAAAAATTTTAATGAGAAGAAATCTATAATTTTTATTTTATTACTTTAAAAAATATTTTTATTATTTTCTTTTAGAGAGAGAGGAAGGGAGAGTGATAGAGAGATAGAAACATCAATGAGAGAGAAAGATCACTGAGCTGCCTCTTGTACACCCTCTACTGGGGATTGAGCCCATACCCAGGCACGTGCCCTGATATGTGACCTCTCGTTTCATAGGTCGATGCTCAACTACTGAGCCACACCAGCTGGGCAAGAATTCTATAATTTTAAGAGAAAAGGTACAAATGTGCTAACATTTAAAATAATTTTATTAAAAAATTTCAATTTAAAAACAATTATAAGAAATTACTGTATCAAATATAGAAAATATTTATTTTATCACATTGTTTAACTTCTATGTTTGTTTATAATTTAGAAATGAATAGATTCTGAATCTGTGTTTCTTAGAAAGTGTAACTTTCTGTTGCTGTGTCTTGTCAATCTGCTGCTATTCTTTACACAAAAGCACAAAATTCAGTGACCCTCCAGGGGGCAGCAGAGTACCAGCCATCAACCAAGAGCTTAGGCAAAGAAATGAGGGAGAGAAGCGCTGAGGACTAAGAGAGTTATTCTTACTTTTACTGAGCTCTTGGGAATAAACACAAGGACAAGTTTGTTTGGCAATAATAACCTTTATCGTGTTATATAAACAGCAAATATATGATAAAATGTCATTACATCAATCTGTCAATCTGCAAATCTTTCCTATGAGTCAACAATACACAAAGTGAGAGACTCAATATTGTGGTGAATATAAGAGGCATCAGGCAAAGATGCAACTTTTGAGAAATGTATACTTTGGGGAGAATTCATAACTAGCAAAACAAAGCATATATAAAAATTCAAAGTAAGTATTCTATCATATAATACTATAGTTCTCATATCATTATATATAAATTAAGAGTAATTTTTTATAAGGATCAATAGAGCCTAAATTTAGAGTCAGAATCTCTTGGATTCTAAGCCTGTTCCAAACATTTATTAGTTATGTGACTCTGGCATTTAAGTTCTGTGAATAATATTTTCCTTGTTTGAAATGGAATCAGCAGTGTCTCTCTCATAGAATTACTGTAAAGATAAATGATATTGCATATGTATGCTAATCAGGTTCAACTGAAATAATGCTTCATAACAAATAACTCTAAAATCCCAGTCACTTTTGTTCTTCTCACATTGTACAGGTGGGCTTGGCTCAGCCAAGTTGGGTTCAAATGTGCTCCATGCATCTCATTGTGATTCCAAAATAAAGAAGCCAGAATTAGCTGGAGTTTGTTTATCTCATGCAAATGATAGTACTACAAAAGGGCAAGCAGAAATAGGTAATGCCTTTAGAAACCCTGACTCAGAACTGGAAAATATTACATGGGTCAAAGTAAATCACATGGCCAAGGCCAAAGTCAAGGGCTAAGGAAGTATATACTGACCCTGGCAAAGCTGAAGAGAGGAATGTAGTTTTATGAACAAATAAGACATTTTAATGATCATACCCCCTTAAATATTTCCTTTTACTGCTGTTATCAGTACTCTCTGCCATTATTATATAGTTTTTCACCAATATGCTTGCACAACTCTATATACTAATCATAAAATTATCTACAAGCATATCTTGGATATATTATGGGTTCAGTTCCAGACCACTGAAATGAAGCGAATACCACCATAAAGCTAGGCATGCAAATTGTTTGACTTCCCAGTGCATATAAAGTTATATTTACACTTTAATGTAGTCTATGAAGTGTGTAATAAGATTATGTCTAAAAAATATTATATATAATTAAAAATACTTATATTGCTAAAAACTGCTAAACATCACCTGAGCCCTCAACAAGTCATAATATCTTTTCTGGTGGAGGGTCTTACCTTAGTAACATCAAATATCATTGATCATAGATCACTATCCTATCTAATAAAGACACAATAAGCAAATTGACCATCACTTCACAACAAAGATGGGGCACCCACAGCCAATAAGGAGGGAATATGCAAATTGATGTGACGAAGATGGAGGTGGTCAGGCCAGGACACTTGCGTCGTTGCCATGGTGACAACACAGGCTTTCTGCCCTGCTCCGGCCACTCTGGGCCTCTGGGTAGCGTGCGAAGGCGGAAAGGTGACTCTGGGCCGGAGTGAAGGCAGTGTTGGCAGCCAGGGGAAGGAAGGCCTATTCTTGCACAAATCTTCATGCATCGGGCCCCTAGTAACAAATGTAAAATAATAAAAATGTTTGAAATATTGTGAGAATTACCGAAATGTTATGCTGAGACACAAAGTGAGCAAATGCTGTTGGGAAAATTGGTCAATACAGATTGCCACAAACTTTCAATTTGTAAAAAATGCATTATCTGTGAAGTGCAATAAGGCAAAGCACAATAAAACAAGTTATGCCTGTTTTACAAAACAAGGGTGGACCGCTATATAAACCACTTGTTTGGGTGTGCTGCTCCAAAGAATTCAGGATTCTCAGAAGTGAGATTTCCCTTCCTACATTATAGACATCTTGTGCAGTTTTTCTCCAGCCTTCCTCTGTTAAGCTTCCTTTTAAAAAAAATTTGTATTAATTTATTGATTTCAGAGAGGAAGAGAGAGGGAGAAATAGATATAAACAATGATGAGAGAGAATCATTGATTAGCTGCCTCCTGCATGCCCCCCACTAGGGATCAAGCTTGCAACCCAGGCATGTGAACTGACAGGGGATTGAACTATGACCTCCTGGTTCATAGGTCAACACTCTATCACTGAGCCATGCTGGCCGAGCTGTTAAGCTAGCTTTGATCACAGAAGTTGAGAAATATATTTCTTTTCTTTTTCTCTACAGCGGCATTGTCCAATAGAAATATAATGTTCATCACATATGTAATATTTTCTAGTAGTCACATTAGAAAATTATTTTAAAATGTTTAACAAAATTATCCAAAGTATTATCCTTTCAACATGTAATCTATATAAAAATTGAGAAATTTATTGCATGACTGAACATTTTTTCTTTATACTAAGTCTTCAAAATCTAGTGTGTACTTTATATTATAACACAACTTGATTTAAATTATCTATATTTCAAGTGCCCAATAGTCACATGAAGCTTTTGGCTACCCTATTGAAGACTGCAGCTCTACATTATCCCTTTCCTTTGTCACTTATTATTGAGTGGCTGACTTTCTTAATACCATTAGAATGAATGCCTTTTACTTTTGTCTCTCCCCCAGTACCTTGATGTTTGTTTGAATATTAATCTTAATCCAGGTTTGACCAGGCATGAGATAAATACACCATTTAGAGTAGGAGTTAAATAAATAAACACAGGTTAAGTAATTTTCAGACTAAACCTCAAGTTTTGTCTGAAGATGTATAATTGTACCTTGGACTTCCTCAGAGCATCCTAGATAAAATTTAGAAGATAGATTTTCTTAGAATGTAATACATATTAAAATGGTTTTCTTAACTCATTCATTTGACCAACCTATGAAGCCAAAAGTTCTCTCTATCATAAGATAGGTGAGGCTTACAGAGCAACTCAGCACAACTTATTTTTTTATAGATACTACTTAACTGAAATGTCTGCAGGAATGTTATGTGTCTATAAATACATCCATAAGAAGCAACAGTGCATGTAAGGCAGTAAATTGTGGGAAGAGTCAGTGCAGTAGCCAGTGAGACTGGATATGAAAAAGGGAGGGCAGCTCATGATCTATAGCAGTGATGGTGAACCTATGACACGCGTGTCAGAGGTGACACGCAAACTCGTTTTTTTGGTTGATTTTTCTTTTTTAAATGGCATTTAAATATATAAAATAAATATCAAAAATATAAATCTCTGTTTTACTATGGTTGCAAATATCAAAAAATTTCTATATGTGACACGGCACCAGAGGTAAGTTAGGGTTTTTCAAAATGCTGACACGCCGAGCTCAAAAGGTTCACCATTACTGATCTATAGATTAGAATATATTAGGTATCAATGATAAATGGTTGTCTATAGCCATTCAGGTTACTGACAGTCATGATCCTAAAGTCCTTCTATCTCTACTAAACTGCTGAAAAATATTTTGTGAAAGGCTGGTTAGTCATGCTATGAGTGCTATGGGACACAGAGGAGAATAATAAAAATAAAACTAGTATATTTCCCATGCCTGTTTTCTAAGCTGAAATTTTATTATAAACATATCTCATGGGTGAAACACAACAATTTAATACTAGAGATTTTGAAATAATTTTAAGACTTCTTTTAAAAAATACACATAAATCTGCTCATGAACCAAAAGAATTTCCCAATCTTAGGTTTTTGTGTGAGCATTCTATGTGGACATATATATGTGTTAACTATTGTTATTTATGATTTTAAGAGGACAAAAATATATTTGGCTATTTTTTAAAAGTCTGCAAAATCTTTTGATTTATACCTGTAAAACAGAATAGAATACCTACTGCAGTGAAAAGCTGGACAAGATGCCTGAACAAATAGCTTTCTTCATGCCTTATTTTGCCTTGCTTTTTTAAACTTCTTAAATTGACATTTTTATGAAGAAATAAGGCCCTAATAGGCACGTTTCAATTGACACTTTAAACACTTTGAAACTGACTGAGCATTATTATTTATCATTTATCTTTTGGTTTAAAAATTGGAAGAAGCAGAATAAAACAGATGGTGATGGACATTTGCAATCATCCCTCATCTGTGTTCTTAATGTCTCATCTATGGCAGCGACTTCTGACTTCCACATCTTAGAATTGTTCCTCAATTATGCCAGAGTCATTATTTTGTTGGAAACTATCAATTGTGTGAAAGATATAGATGATGATTGTACCAGCTTATACATCTCAAATAACATCTCAGATCATAAGGGACCAAGAAAGTTGGTCATACAAGGCAATTAACTGTTTTATCCTTCATGAATTAACAATCTAGTTCTCAACATATCCAGTCTAGTTGATTATTTCTATTTGCAGCTTAATACTTTGTCCTCAGACTACTGTCTTGTAAAGAATAATTGAAGACATTTACACATATCTTGCTAGCAAGAACATTGTTCTTATTGTTATGGAAAAATTCCAATCCAATGTGATTTATATTGCATAATATCATGTAGCCATATCAAAAGCACTTTGCTTAAAAATAGAGGAAAATTATTGCAGTTGGAGTTTATAGAAGGAAAAGGTCATGGATAATCACTGTCAAAGAAAGCAGTTAGCTTATTTTATGTTCGCTCCAACCAAATTAAGCCTGTGTTCTCTTGGAAGTGGTTAACACACAATGAAAGCAACTCTGTCAAATATGTGTTGCCTGGCCTTATTCAGACACCAATTGGCTTCTTAACTCAGGGTTCCACTTTTCACCTTGTTGGATGTAATGCCAAAGAAAAACAGCATTTTGAAATTCAATTTTGCTTTCTCTACCTCCTGTGAATCAAAAGTCAACCAAAAAAAGACATAAAATTTTATACAAAGGGAGGACTAGTTTCCACAGGAAAGTAAAAATAAAATTTATAATCATCATTTATTCAAATTATAGTTTTTGGACACCTATATGCCCCAGTTTAAAATCATGTTCATGAACTTTGTGATTCAATTATAATTATTTGGATAATTCTGACATCAGCCTTACAAATTAAAAAAAGTATTTCAAGTCACTCTATTTTATTTCCATTTTAAACATTCAGGGGCAAAATTTTGATATTTAGAATTAGGCAGCTGGACTCAGTTTAGATGATCCCAATTTTGTTGGCAACATCCAAAGCATCATAGTCAGGAGCCAGTTGAACATATGCCTTCTTCTCTCCATCAGGCCTGATCAGGAGACCTTGGCCACATCAGTGTCATAGAGCTTATACACACCGTTTGATCTGGTGCTTGTTGGCCTCGACATCACAATGAACACAAGTAAATTGTTGTTTTCTACCTTCTTCATGGCTGACTCGGTAGTCAGGGGGGAATTTGATGATGGCATAGTGGTCAAGCTTGCTTCTCCTGGGTGTGCTCTTTGAGGATATTTAGGCTGCCTTGGCAGCCTTAGTGTCTTTGGCCATTGGAAGGAGGGTGATGTGCAGATCATCTTTATTTTGTGGCTGTGGACGCCTTTCAACACTGCTTTCTTTGCCTTCAAAGCCTTTGCTTTGGCTTCAGCTTTGGGAGGGGCAGGGGCTTCCTTCTTAGCTGTCAGCACCATCTTCGTAAAAAGCTAAAATGTATCTTTATTGTTGAAAGATGACCCATTTTTTTGTCCCCCATTGACCCTCTCTACCCACATGGGTCCCTTCCCCCTAGGCCTTCACCACACTATTATCCATGTCCATGGGCTATGCATATAAGTGCCAAAGATGTTCAAGATAATTCTGAAGAGAAATGTTTGTATTTTCTAAACACTGTGCTGAAACAATTGGGTATTCATATCAAAAATGATGAATGTTGGCCCAGACCTAACATTATCTTAAGAAAACTAAGTTAAGCCCAGCTTGCATGGCTCAGTAGTTGAACATCGACCTATGGACGAAGGGGTCACAGTTTGATTCCTGGTCAGGGCACAAGCCCAGGTTGTGGCTAGATCCCCAGTGTGGGGCATTCAGGAGGCGGCCAGTCAGTGATTGTCTCTCTTTTCTCTTTCTCCCTCTCCTTTCTTCTCTAAAATTAATAAAAATTTATTTTTAAAAAATTAAGTCAAAATGATTAGTAGACTTTTAGGTCTTAGAAGACCTATGTTTTAGAAGGAAACATTAAAAAGCTCTTTGCAAATTGAGATAGGCAACTATATCTTAGGTAAAACACAGAAAATAAAACTATAAAAGAAAAAATTAGATAAATTGGACTTTGTCAAAATTTTAAAAATATGTTTTTAAAAAGACACTATTAAAAATAATGACATGCACAGATTAGGGAAAAATATTTTTAAAACTCATATTTGAGAAAGGACTGGTCTGCAGAGTATACAAATAGTTCTTTCACAACTCAGCAATAAGAAAACAAACAATCCAGTAAAAATGGGCAGAGATTTGTACAGACACTTCACCAGAAAAGATAAATGGATAAATGGATCTTCATTCATTGCAGCACATGAATAAAAAAGCTGAAAATCATTAGTCATTAGGGTGATGGGAGATGCAAATTGTAATCACAATAAGTTATTACTAAGCACCTGTTAGAATAAACTCAATTAAAGAAAAATAAATGGCAATAACAAGTGTCTACAAATGTATATGCAAGCC